ATCACCAGCGCTCCCTGCCACTCATGCACAGACCCTGCACTTGCACAGACCCATGTGCTGGAGCCAGGCATTTTCCCTGCTGGGGCTGTGCACACACATACCGCACACCATACATACCACATATACCACACACACACCACACACCCTGCACACAACATGCACATACCCTCCCCCCACAATATACAAAATTAAGAATTTGTTTTTGCGTTATTATGCAAACACAAATCATGACAAAATATTTTTTGTAATAATATTAAAGTATGTTATAGTAGATGTTTGACTTTTAGTGTATGCCTTGGTTTTTTTCTGGTTCCAAGATGGCAATCCTCCCTCCCAAAAAGGAGTATTTACGGGGGGCAAGGGAAGGACTTCTGATGGCAAAAGTCAAGGGTTACAAGTGGGACTTCCAGTCCCAAGATGGCAACAAGGGGGTGGGGCAACTGTCAAGGGTGGGACTACCCATGCAGCCCTCAACACCTCACCAAAACTTAAGTGGCCCTCCACCCAAAATAATTGCCTGCCCCTGCACTAGTCCATAGTGTTGGTGTGCTTATCATGAGGATAAGAGGTTTTGTGCACAACTCTCATCTGCCTATTGGAACGGGGCTTAAAACATCATGCTGGAAATAGGGAAAGAATGCTTTTTTTTCTGAAGACAGTTGTTTGTGACTACTTATTTGCTCTATGAGTAGTGTACTTTATATTAGTAAGATCAAAACATTTCTCGGTCTTACATATCTGAGGTATTCTGCATGTGCTTGTATGTGTGTGTCTTGAACCAGTGTAAGAATAAAACCAGAGTGCAGTTTCTTTTTCCCTTTCTTTCTTGTCCATCTGTCTTTGAATTTGGAATGTATCCTTATCATGCTTCTGTGTTACTTGGTATTTAATTGAATTCTATTCTTGTCTTTGCAGTCTGAGTGACAATTCTTCATCATGGCTCAAGGATCCAGTGATCAGAGTAATGTGGAAATGTCTGACCCAGAGGAGAGCTCTCCAAATATGATTGTCTACAGAAAGGTAATGCATTTGGGTTTGTTCATTTAAAAAAAAAAGTTCTTTGTTGTTGTTGGCTAGAGATAGGAGGACACTTTTGGCACACTATCTTTTTCTGGTAGAGCGGTGTGTTGTTAATGTTTTTAGGACAGCAAGTGTTCTATAACATTTGACAGGTAGTATCGGTTTCTCTATGCATGGAAGTATTTTGTTGGGGTTTTTTTTCAGTGTCATATATAAAATTATTTTGTGTGAAATGTAATGCCTCTTCTGATTCTAATATTAATTGCTGTTTGTGTGTGTGTGGTGTTAGCTGTGAAGCAACACTTCCTTATTTCATTTACCTTTTTAATTCCTAAAAATATGTTTCTGAAATTGTATATACTTCACAATCCTTATGAAATATACATTATTTAAAAAACACAACCAAACCTCTGTTCAAGTACATTATCTCTTCTTCCGTATGGTGGTTGCCATTACAAAATTTGCAGTTGCTTTTGCATATTATTAAATGTTGTCACTTGCCTTTGCCTTATTAATTATTAACCATAGAAAACACCGTATATGCTAGAATGAAATAAATCGGGCAAAAGGTAAAACTATGTATTTTAATTCCTGGACACTGTACACAGTACCATTAATAATCATGACATATTAACTGTATGGACAGATGGACAGATTTTTGTAGAATATTAGCCCAGGAAGGGGGAGTGGGAGGGAAGTGTCCCTTCCCTGGAGTGTATGCGTATGCAATTGTGTTTTTGGACATGTGTGTATTGTGCTGTGATTTGAATCTTGATTAATGTTTAAATCCTGAAGTCACCCACCTAATTATTGCGACTTACAGCTTAGACCCATGAATATTTGGATCTGCAATGAGAGTACTGACTTTGATCTCTCTTCCAAGTTAAATTATTGAAGAGGTTTGCATTTTTATTTTTGTTATTTATTTTCAAAAAAGTCTCTGAGTTTTCTTTAAAATACATTTTTCAGAGGATGAAGAATGCTCTAGCTTGAGATAACTGACACATCTATTTAAGACCTACATAGTGTTTTAAGTGGAGGTGTAAATGACTTGAAATCCTGAGTGATGATGTAGCTCAGCTGGCAGTATCAAATTTAGTTCATAAAATTTATAGTGAACCCCACTTTCTGAAGTACTTTGGGAAGCTTATTAAAGCTGAAGGGAAAAGCAACCTTTAAAAAAAACCTAGTTATAAGAGCATTGTTTTATTTTAATATTTGTATATCTATGGACTATACAATTAGGTCTTTATATAAGAAATAGCAAAATATTGTAAATGCGTCCTATATTGTGTGGGGAAAGTATTGTACAGTTCTGCTGAAAATGAAATTTCTTGCAATAATAAGATTTTCTGCAATTGTGTTCAGTTGTACTCTGAGAAGTTTGCAGCGTTCTACTATGTTATGTTGTTGTTCAGCACATATTAAGTTTGAATAAGTAGTACAATGCTGGATTACTGGTAAATTATTTTTACCCAGCTCTTCACCTAATACAGGAGCTATAGATATGCTCTATGTCATAGTCTATGATTTGTGACTATTATTCAGATAATTTGGGCTGAATCCAGAACATCAGTTTTAGAGCTTTCTGCTCAGATAACAATGATTTGTGTTTTGTTGTTGCATGCAAGCTTTAGCAACAAAGCTGTGGACCTGGTACTGTACTTTTGGTAATGTGCAAGATTTTATTTGCTTGCTTGCTTTTTAAAATGTGGTATAAAGTCAATTTATCTGCTAATTTAAAAGTAGTTGTAGTGGGTTACAGTCTGATATGACTGTCCAAGCCCTGCTAGAGGTCCAAACACCAGCAGTGTCAAGTTGATTTGGAGCCTGTGCTTCGAAGGAAGCCTCCATGTTTTCTGGTCTCAGTACCCAGAACTGGGGTCCCAGCTGTGGGTTTGTACCTGAGAACCTTTTGTCCAGTCCTGAAAATGTTAATCAGTATTATTGCATTTGATGTTGAAACCTAATCCCATGACATTTACCTTAGAATCTTGTTTAGTTTCTGTGGCTGCTGCTATTTCATTATCGTCACTGGAAAATAATCTTTGTGTGCTGCACCTATTAACAGAAAAATATGCTCCTACCATTTGATTGATTTTTCTTCACTTGTGTATATCAAGTGTCAGCACTATCAGTATTCCATGCACACACTCCATCAAAGGGTACAGGTATCTGTAGATTAGCATGTCCTGCACATCATCCAGTACCATGCTGTTCTGTATGTTACATTAATATTGCTCTGATGTTGTTTTTCCTGTTGTGTGATTTTTTTGAAGATCATACTTTTCTTTTTAGGGGTGATAAGTTCTATTTCTTAATAAAAGCACATTCAAATTGCTGACTGACTTTAAAAACCTTATTGACAATAAGTAACAAGTATATTAATTATATATAAAAGACTACTGTTGGGGAAAAGCTAAACACGTGACCAATATTCTTTTCCAGATCTAAAACCCCGTGGAAAAGTATAAGCCTGTCATGTTCTTTTAGCAACATCCTCTCTCTCCCAGATATTGCTTGTCTCTTTCTCTCCTCTCATTCCTTTTCAAATGGTCTAATCATGAGTGCTCAATGAAAAACACCTTGGTAAAGACATTTTTCAAATTTGGAAGGTAAGAGCTGTCAGCACATCAAAATCTTTTGAAGCTTTAGCCACACGTAATAAATTGGGATTCACGTTAGCTAATACATGTTAACTGAAAAGAAGGTTTTAATTTTACTTTCTTCAGATGTAACCCATCAGTGCAGATAAAATATGTGCTTCTTGAATGTGGAATGGTCAATCTCTAGTACTTTGTTCCAGGACCTGCAAGCCTACTTCCTGTCTTCCCATTACCACAAAAGAACTCTGAAGTTTGATGGTGCTTCTCAACCCAGTCACTAAAGTGGACTTCCAGTCTGCTAAAGCACTTGCCACCCTCTAGGGGTACACTGATAAAGATTTATTTTGGCTAATTATTCACCAGTCACATCAGCTGATCCGTATCCACTAGCCGATACGCAGCCTGGCAGCATGGAGACCAGCATCCAGCTAGTAAATCTGTGAGGGGAAGGGGCATGGGAAAGGGAAGGGGTGTGGGGGGGGGAAGATCAAGGCCCCCACGGTGAGGAAGGGAGTGGGGCAGGGGCAGACACTGCCCAGCCCGGGTGGGGCATGGGATGGAGCTGCAGGTGGCTCATCCGGTGGGGCCTGGGAGAGTGTGTGTGGGGGGTGAAGCTCCTGGCCACTTTGTGCATCCCCAGGGGAGGCATGGGGGGAATGTGCCCTCCCTAGATTTGTGTGCAGGGTGAGGGCAGGCTGCCTGCTGCAGGCTCCGGGCCAGGGGCTGCACTGGCCTCTTCCTATCAGAGGGGCTGGGCTCAGGGTTGGTAGGGGTGAGCCAGGAGGCAGTGGTGCTGGGAAGGGGTTTATGGAGGGCTATGGGGAATTTTGCGGTCCAAAAAAAGCTGATTGCCTATAATGCCAATTTTCCCTTTTTTTGGTGCTGATCCGATATAGACCAATATTTTGGTGCACCTCTTATATTCCTATATCCCTCAAGTTATATCTCATAAGAGAGAATGTACCCAGGAGATATGGGCATTATAACAAATGCCTTCTGTAGTTTGTTTTTTTTTTTATTGAGTACTTGGACAAGTTGAGAATTTTAATTATACTCTGGAAACCATGTTGGGTTTCTGCCATTCATGTACTTAGCTGTGAATAAAAAGTAGCAATCGCATTTCTTATAGTTCTGGCAATACATGGCAAAGATGTGGGGTTTTGTTTTTATTTTTGATATAGTTACTAGGGCTTTGCAAAATGGTACTGTTCCATTTTACCTTGAGTTTCAATGGTTTGACGGAACAGCGTTCCATTTCAAATTTCATTTTGATTCAAAACAGCTGTTCTGTTCCATTCCATCAAAACAGAAAGGCTATTTTAAAGCTGTTTTGACATTTTGCTAGGGATGGAAGTCAGCCCTGCTGGGCTGCTCCCTCATCCCCGGTGCTAGATGATGCGGGGACTGGAAGGCAGCCCAGCTGGGCTGTGATCTAGTGCGGGGGTTGGGAAAGCAGCCCAGCTGGGTTGCCTCCTGCTCCCCCACCCAATCTAGTGCCAGGGATGGGGATCTAGCGCGGGGGATGGGAAGTCAAGCTAGCTGGGCTGACTCCCAGTCCCATGCTGGATATTGCACTGGGGCTGGCAGGTCAGCCCAGCTGGACTGACTTCCCATCCCCAGCCTATGGTCAAAATGTTTTGACTTTCAAAATGTTTCGACCAGCCTCATTTTGTTTCGAGGCTATTTCGACGGCCTTTGTTTCATACTGATTTTGCTGTTTCAACAATGTTGAAATGAAATGGCTGGAGAAATTTTGCAGAGCCCTAATAGTTGCATCTGATGTTAGAAGACAATTTTAAAAATTGTATGTAACACCCATTCTTTTGTCCCCTGGACAAAATTTTGTCCAATTTTCATGGGAATAGGCATTGTCTATACAAAAGGGTTTTCCTGGAAGTTAGTAGGATCTTGCCCTGTATTTATTAGTGTTTCTTTGGTCATTATAGCAAGAGGGACACATGCGAAAAGATGCTAGGAATAGAGAAAACACATTCTTTAACAAACAGTAACATAACATATCCAATTGATTTTACATGGCTGTCACTTTTTCTTGAAATCCAAACTCTGCTGATTGCACTGCTTGCTTATAAGTGCAATTTCATACAGCCCAGTTACCCATCTCTCCAATAATCTTGCCCTTAAAAATTCAAGCTCTGTGGACCATATCAAAAGAGGAAGTGTTCACTGACACCATCTGGTATCAGTAAATAAACAAAATGAATCTGTGTAAGTCATTATCAGTAAAAAAAAAAAAAAAAAAAAAAAATTGGCAAAAAA